TTTTGCCGTGGACTATTTCTGTTTTTTTGGAAGGGAAATTGTCAAAGTGCAAGGGGGACTTCTTAAATATGTTAAGTGATCACAAATAGTCTAACCGATTTTGTTCTTTACGTTATTTATTTGATCCTAAAGAGCACTTTTATTTTTTTGGTATTGTGATAACTGAACTTCATTCTTTCAGTATCTTTCGAATGAAAGAAATGATTTAATTAATGCATGTTTTATTGCAAACTTGTAGCAGATTATAGACTATCAAATTCAGTTAAAATCTGGATGAGGATTTGAAAGTTTTGCTTCATTAGTTGTGTACATAATTGCTTACTAGTTGCTGGATCTAAATGTGCTGCATTCTGTAGCTTTAGAAAACTAAATAATTAGTGAACACGCAAAAGAAACTTGAACAAATCCTAGTCATATATTGCTCAATCTCTGTTACATGAATTTGACCTTATGAACAAACTGTCAAGTTATGCTGACAACATATAAGCCCATTAAATGAGATAAAAGGTATTATACATGCTCTAACTCAATATAAAAGAGTTAAATAATATTCATTTTAGTTAACAAAAAGTGTCATTGATCTCAACTAATGGCAGCATGATTGGATTACATGAATTTTGTGCTTTCCACTGATGCACCGACTTGATCATTGAGCAGAATGTGTAAAACGTGAATCACACGTTTATGAGCTTTGTTAATGAGCAGTGGTAATTAGCAAACATGAACTTTGTTAACACAATTAAGACATGGACGTTCTGAACATTAACTTGGCTAACCCTGTGAACACAATGTAAAGTACTTATAGGCATAGTTGTTACTATTCCTAAGGAGCCTTGTAGCATTATAAGAATATGAATTGAGAGGAAACATGGATCTTGAGTACTTTTATTCTTCTTTAGATTTTGTCTTTGAGATTGCAAAATTCTTAGAGATATACATGTTTATGTATGTTTATATATGTAGATATGTCCTTCTCTATATTTCATGTCCCTAAGTCAATCTTAAGCTACATATTTAGTGCTATTTTATTATTTGCTGAACCTGTTGCTACGATCTAGATCAAATGACGCCACAAGACGTTGGGCTAAGTAGTGATCTCCATTTCTTTAAGCCCAACACTGATGTTAAGGCCCATGAACGAGTAGCATATGCAACAATTCACCAATGCAAGAAGTTCTCGGTAAGACTGCCTCTGTTTATTTGTGCTTTTGTTAAATTTGATGAGCAAGTGATGAGTACACGATTTTAGTGAACACAAGTTTGATGTATTTATGCACCAAGCATTGTCATAAAGTCATTATTTGCTCTCTAGTGTGTGGACAAAAGTTCTTGGCATGATTCATGTTCTATAATCCATGGGATAACTGCATAATTATTCAAAACAAGGCAGTAAATAATTCAGAGTTTGATATTTATCTGAGTGCTTTCGAGCATTTTGTAACGAGTCAATAACTTGAACTGTATAGCTGTGCAAGCACAGGTGCTTTTAGAATTTCTGTTTTACAGAATTATTTGTGATACTTGAATCCAAATGAAATGGGTAAAAAAGCTGGTGCCTTCTTTTCAAACTTTAGTTCTTTGGTGATCCATAGTCAAGTGTTCATGATCTAGTGCAAGTTAATAACCGTTATTCTTGAATCATCTTTTGAACTACATTGCAATATATAGGCATATCATTTTGAAGCTCAAGGGCAAGCTTGGGTTGATTAACCTTGTGAATTGCTTTCTGCAGTTGTGCATCTTCTTTCTTCCAGCAAATTCAGTCATACCGCTTCACAATCACCCAGGAATGACTGTTTTCAGCAAGCTTTTACTGGGGTCGATGCACATTAAATCTTATGATTGGCTTGATAATTCAAGTTCAGATAACCATGAATCAGATCCTAAATGTATGTGGTTGGTGTCTCTCTGTCTGTCTCTCTACTTTTATCTATCCATGTATCGATGTATCCAACTCTCTTCATTCCTTCCACTCTATAACCTACATATATTGGTTCATAATTTATCAACTTTCTCTGACAAATAAAGATGATTATTTCAGTGAAGAGATTGGCACGACTGAGAGCGAATAGGATCTTTACAGCCCCATGTGACACTTCTGTGCTATATCCTACATCGGGAGGCAATATTCATGAATTTACAGCAATAACACCTTGTGCAGTACTTGATGTGCTTGGACCTCCCTACTCAAAAGATGATGGCCGTGACTGCTCATACTACAAGGATAGCCCCTATGATGCTACGCTAGGTAAGCCTTTTGTTCTCCCTGTACAAGTTTCGTTATTGTATTTGTTAATTCAGTATGGTGAACTTTCTTGAATTAATTTCATCCATGTGTGAAAGAAAAAAAGTAATTGCAAGAGCTATATTACTCTATGCTAAGTAGCCCTTTTATTTAAATACTTTTGCCTTCTCCTGATGCCATTGTTGGAGATCTTTCGCTCCACATCTTTTTTGTTTTTTGGGCTAACTGTTCTGGAGATTGAAGTGGAAAAACTTTTTATTGATCATACACTGGTTAAATTTGCAGTATAAGATTGTTATGAATAGAACTTCCACAGTTTTCCCCTGGAGGCTATACAATTTGCCTTGTGATAGCCAATGGGAGATTAAGCCTTCAGAAAGTTTGTAGTGAACTTATCAAAGCAATTGGAATTTGGAAAAGATTAAATGTGCAGAGGAAATATATAGTCAAAGCATGGTTGAATTTTTGTTATAATTGAGAAGGTACGCTGTCAACAAGAAAAAAGAACTTGAATATTTGCTATAATTGCATGGATTTTTCCTATTTCTTCAAAAGAATCAGCCTGCATTAACACTTGTAGTTCAGGGAATCGTTGTTACGATTATATTGAGGAGTATTTTACTTGAAATGTTGGGGAATATTGTCATTTCTTCAACTTGGAGTTTCTTAGCCACTAAACCAGTTAAGTTTTGAAGTGAGGCAGAGTGTCCATGCTATCATGAGATTACATTGGACATTCTGAGATTAATTTGACATTCAACATTAGTTTTACAGTCGATCTTCTTCTCATTTTGTTGTGTTTTTAGCTGCCATATTGATTATATGCTTTCACTGGATGTAGATGTAGAAGTTAAAGAGGCAAAACAAGATGAGTGCTATGGGTGGTTGGAGGAGATTGATTTGCCAAATGACTCAGAGATGGATCTGATTCCATACTTGGGTCCACAGGTTTCTGTGGCTAGTTAGTCATCTAATCCAGTGGATATAACTCTTTTTTTTTTTCCCTGTATTCACTTGTTTCTTGCCTTAATTGGTTTTTTTGTACCTTTTCTTTGATTTGGTGTTTCTTTACCATGGCCCTTAATGTATAGACGGTCCCCTGGATAGGTTGTGAAGCGTCTTGTGAACCCGCATTCATAACACACCTGTTACTGTATAAAAGTACCACTTCTACTCTTAGCAGTTTGTTGGACAAGTTCAAGTTTCATAAAGTACACAAAAACTTTCCTAGTACAAGTTTCATAAAACGCAGTAAAACTTTCCTTTCGGTCTTAATCATAAATGCAAGATTCAATGCGAACGCATCCTACTCTATCAAATTTTAGGTTCCTAAACTATTTACTGTATCAGTTATCTCCAATCTTAGAAACCGCCAAATCAAACATTTACTGCTTTTGGTCCCTTAAAAATGTGGAAAGCACTGAAATCTCAATGATTCAAGATTTCGAGTTACATTAGATTAATATACAGGCTTAAAAATTTCCCGCAGAGATGCTATGGCATCCAGACAACCCCGTAGGAATCAATTTCAATCTAGATTTGCTGATAATCATTGTGAATGAAAATGCATTATCAACTACAAGAAAGATAAGACATTCATACTTAATAATAAACAATCCCAGTATTTTGAGGTATTCCTAGGCACATACCATAAAGTTTTAGAATAACTGTTTACCTCTGTTGAATTTGGACGACGACTTATGCTGGCAGCTCAGGAAATGACGGATCTATTCACTTTATCAATAACCGAGACGACTCTGGCAGCTTAAGAAATGACGGGTCTTTTTTTTTTTTTTTGTCAGCAACGATACATTTGTATAACTTACTCTATCCTAAACTAGGGAGAGGAGGAGCCTAAGGAGGCTGTTGTAGGGACTAGTGGATATACAGATCCAACTAGACCAAGGGAATGTTGTGGCACAACCCTTAGATTTTTTTCGCTACAGGTGAGGTTCGAACCCTCACCTATAGACCCAAGGAGGGACTTAAGTCTCTCCTGGTGGCCACTGAGCCATTGCCCAGTGGTTAGATCTATTCACTTTATCAATAATCGAGACGAATCTGGTATATCATAAGAGCATCCACAACAATGTATAATGGGAGTATAATGCCCTCCATGACACGGTCTCCCATTGGAGCCGTGTCATGGAGATTACACACACAATACTGATGATGCGCGTCATGGAAGATGCTGTGGGGCCCAAACGGCATTACAACACCAGCAAACGTCCAAATAGCCAAGATGAGACATTTTTTTGAAATGAGACAGCCTTTTATTTGGTCATTTTTTGAAACATTTTACAATGGTCATTTTTGGAGCTAGCCATTTTACAACGGCCTTTTTTTACAACGGCTATATTTAGCAACGGATAATTTATTTTACTTCCTATAAATACACAAAGTAATTTTTTTATTTCACCTCACAATCTTTTACTCCATTATCTCTCCTAGTCCCTTATTCAGTATTTTCAATCTATTTACATAATTTTATAAATTTTAGTATTTTATCATTATGGATGAGAATCTTAGTAGTTTTAGAAATATGTTAAATAGTTCAAATATAGAAAATTCATCCTCTTCACAAAATCAAAACCACCAAAATTTTCAAAATTATCCAAATTTGCCAAATTATCCATTTCTAATTCCAAATTACCCAAATTTACCCAATTCCAATCATCCATCAAATTTCCAAAATCCACCACATTTTCCATATCAAATTCCCATGTATCCGTCACCTAATTATTTTAATCCTTTAATGGGAAATCACTATACACCGAGGTATTATAACCTTGATATGGGTTATGGAGGCTCAACGACTCCGTCGGAGATAAGGAAGGATTTTGATTTCACCGGTCAACAAGATAATGCAACACCAACAGAGTCAATTTCGGATTCTCAATTTCCTCCGTATTCAACACAGCGTGAGGTAGAAAATATAAATCTCACAAATGAGGCGGTGGAAGAACCTGACGGTAAATGCGTTCCATGGAGTGTGGATGATGACAAGATACTTGCAAGTGCTTGGCTCACAATTTCAAATTGCAGCATTGTGGGTAACTCTCAACATGAAGAGAGTTTTTGGAAACGAGTTGTTGACTACTTCAATGAGAATCGAAAATCTGGACCACCACGAAAATATAAAGTAGTGAAATCACATTGGCATTGGTTGAGTCGGATGGTTAATGAGTTCAACCAATATTACAACATATTGGTCGGCGATCATCATAGCGGGTGGAATGATGACCAGATCAAGCAACACGCACGTGAGCTATTTCATCAGAATAATAACAAGCATTTTTTACATGAACATGTGTGGGTGTTGTTGAAAAATGATCCGAAGTGGAAGGTAAATATTCCTATGTAGCGTTCTTCAAAAAAGATAAGGACTGATGAAAGCGGGGCATACACTTCTTCATCCAATACGGATTCACATTTTGACATCGATGATAATGAAGCACGTGAAGTTCGCCCACCTGGTCAAAAAGCATCAAAGAAGGGAAAGACAAAGGCAAAATCAAAGGTGAACGAGGAAAATGTGAGTGGGGAATTTGATCAAATCCGAAAAATGTTGATGTAGCAAAAAGAAGAAAAATTGCAGGCTATGGAAAACTTGGCAAATAAGTTAGAAAGTTATAATTTTCGAAGTGATTACGAAATCTTACTCAAGGATACCACGGGCATGACCGATCAATAGCTTCGAATTCATGAGCAAATTTGCTCCATTCAAAAAGCCAAATATAATATTTCTTAGTCTATTTTTAATTTTATTTTACTATACGGTGCAATAAGATGCAGATAAAACCATGTTGTATCATATTAATCACTTGTGTAGTACATTTATGGAGTAACTAGACACAAGCTATGAAATCCGACCATGGATTCGAAACCAAGTTATAAAATCCGGCCATGGATTGGAAACCAGGTTTTGAAATCCTGCCATGGAATCGAAACCAGGTTATGAAATCCAGCCATGGATTCGAAGCCAACATATAAAATCCGGCCATGGATTTGAAACCAGGTTATGAAATCCAGCCATGGATTCGAAATCAAACTATGAAATCCGACCATGGATTCGAAACCAAGCTAACGAAATTTTAAATTTCATCATTTTAAATTAATATAATATTCATAAATTTATAATTTATATTATATAAATATAATTATACTTAATTAAATAATTGTAATATATAATTATACTAATATTATAATAAAATATATTATATATATTCATTATACTAATATATTCATTGTAATAAGTCAGAAAACTAGCCGTTGGAAAATTAGCTGTTAGAAAAATGAGCCGTTGGAAAACTAGCCGTCATAACACTATCACTATATATGTATTGGCAGGACGCAATACATTGCCACCAAATACGCAACACACTCAAAAAATGTCTCAATATCCTGATATCTCTCTTATAGAAGAAATTAAAAAGTTTTTAGCTGATGAAATGATGGATGACACTGATGATCAAATTATGAAGACGTTGGAGCAATGGCAAACGCAACATATATCTTCAAGTCGTAACATCCATCCACACAGTCGAAGATATTACAATCGAGAGCGTGGTGTCGGACATGTTCAACTTTTTAATGACTATTTCACTGACGAGCCAGTGTATCCTTCACATATATTCTGCCGACGATTTCGAATGAGAAGGGAATTATTCCTTCAAATTGTGGAGTCGATGACAAATCATTCAGAGTTTTTTCAAATGAGGGTCGATGCAACCGGCAAAAGACTTTCTCCACTTCAAAAAACTACAGCAGCTATCCAACAGTTAGCATATGGAGCACCTGCTGACCAATTGGACAAGTACATAAGGATGGGTGAATCCACTGCAATCGAATGTTTGTCACAATTTTGTCGGTGCGTGATCGATATTTATGGGGCACAATACTTGAGAAGGCCTAATACTAATGACGTTGAACGTTTACTTCAATTGCCTTCTCAGCGCCATGGTTTCCTCGGAATGCTAGGTAGCATTAACTGCATGCATTGGCAATGGAAGAATTGCCCCGTGGCATGGAAAGGTCAATTTACTCGAGGTGATCAAGGATCTCCCACAATAATGCTAGAAGCAGTTGTATCAGCAGATTTGTGGATATGGCATGCATTTTTTGGCGTCGCGGGGTCTAACAATGACATTAATGTACTCAATCAATCTCCACTATTTAACGACGTGTCACATGGATATGCTCCTGATATTCAATTTATGGTAAACGACACACAGTATAACAAAGGGTATTGTCTAGCAGATGACATATATCCAGAATGGGCAACATTTGTTAAAAGTTTTACATCTCCTAAAGATCCAAAGAGGATCAAATTTAAGCAAATGCAGGAGGCTGCAAAAAAGGACGTCGAGCAAGCTTTTGGAGTGCTTCAATTTCGTTGGGCAATTGTACGTGGCCCAGCTCGGTTTTGGCATATAGCTAAATTGAAAGATATAATGTACACATGCATCATATTGCATAATATGATTGTCGAGGATGAGAGAGATGTAATAAGAAACTGGGATGATGATGATGAAGAACCAACGATCCCTGTGACTCAAGGTTTAGTCGAAAATTTTCACCATTATCTTCAAAGGAATGCGAAACTACGTGACTGGGAAGTACATCATCAACTTCGGTCAGATTTGGTCAAACATATTTGGGAACGATTCGGAGGCAATAATAATGAAAATTAGTATTCATTATATTATTATTTGTATTTTATTTAATTTTAATATTATGTTGTGGAGTTAAATTCAGTAGATAGGGTATTATTAATTAATAATGGATGATTATGATATTTTCACGTTTGAGGTGTCACGTCAATAATTTATTTTTAAAAATAACCATTTTTAAAATAATAAATTTATTTATTTATGGGTTATGAGTTGTGCATTATCTGAGAATCCTGGTTTCTTTTATGCCATTCAAGTAGATATAGAGGGTCGCCTTGTTAAACCAAATTAGTTAAACCAAATTTAGATAGCATTTTATATTCGATAACATTCAAACTCGTCAACTAATCATACCAAACTTCAAACTCGATAAAAGTTCGTTCAAACTCAATTTGGCAAATAAACAAGCCAATCTTGAATAAAATTTTAATTTTGTTAAAATAATCATATAAGATTAAATATTAGGGTGTTTGATTTGATTAGTCTCGTTTAGACCCTAGGCGGTAATCAAAAAGTTGATAATAAATTTGATACTAAAAGAAAATGTACAAATATTTAGTAGCCTATGTGGAGAAAAATACACTATCCTGGGTGGGTAGACCCATTTTGCCCATTCCTTATAAAAGCCGAACCAATCTCAGCCAATCACGAGCGGGCATAGCTTCAACATGGGATTCGTAGTCTCTTTAAACCAAAATTAAACATGGGATTTGGCATCATTTTCCCATATATTCTTTGGATTCTAATAGTATCAAGACATATATCAGACTCCTCAATCGCTATTTGTATCTTTTGAAATGTTAAATACTCGTAAAAGTGTCTGAAATTCAGACATAAAACTATCTAATATAAAAATAAAGAAACAAAATAATGATAGATTTGAAATTTTTTTGTAGTTAAAGAGTGATTTTCAAAATCAGCGTCTCTAGCATTTCTATTTTTCATATTCTTTTTTGCACCCTTCTGGGATGCTTTTCTACCATAGGTTATGGAAGTAGGGTTCTTTTCAAATCCAAGTATTGCATACCATCAAATTGAATTCTTAAAAGAGGCACAAGTTATGGAAGTAGAGTTCTTTTTAAATCCATGTATTGCATACCCATCAAATTGAATTCTTAAAAGATTGTCTTTTAAATGTTCAAATCTTATGTCAGATCAATTGTCACTAATACATGACTTCCACTAAATTGAAAGAATATGCAACAATGCACCCCTTTGGATTACAGGTGGGAATAAATCTCCCTAATTCCCTTGGTCCAATTGAACCCTCTGTTAAATAAGTTAAAGTAAGAGTAAAAATAGAATTAGTGTAGAAGTTGATGATTGTCTCTAAATAGGCTAAATTAGAAATAGAAGTAAGATTAATGTAGAAGTCGTTGATTGAAAAAAAAAAAAGGAAGATTGATGTAATATATGGTAAAAGTAGAAGTAGGGTTAATGTAGAAGTTGCGGATTGAAAAAAAAAAAAATGGGCGATTGACGCAGGATACATGGTACATAGTACTATTTCAAGTTGAAAAGCTAGCAAATTTTGGACAAATTCAAACAACTCCCAAAAGGGACAGATGTGGTGATGCAATTCCATCAGTCAATAACTGAAAACCAATAATCACTTTGCACTGAATTCAAAGCAAATGCTTAGCGACGGGGGAAGAAAGAGTGCCAAACAAACGGGCCAAAATGAAGGGGCCACCGCTAAAAAAGCCAAAGCTGGCCAACCTCGGAAAGTGAAAGCTTACGCTGCATGACAAATCCCATTAAGGTATTGCTTTTTCCTTTTTGCCAATTAAAAAAAGGCAAAAAAGAGAAAAATTCTGCTAATTCTAGTTTTCTGGAGCTTGAACTTAGATTATCAGTATTAATTGCACCATAAAATATATGCAATGATGCACTAAATCCATCAAATATAGACCTGTTTGGATTGCAATTTTTTGGAGTTTTTTTTATAGAAAATGTACTACAATGATTTAATATGTGTAAGATAAAAAAGTAATTGAAAAATGTGTTTAAAAAAAGGTCAAAATTTTTTGAAGAAAGATGGCTTTCGAAACAAGGCCTTAGTGCAAAAATGCAATGAATGTATCACTCATAAAAAATTTTGATATTTAAAATGGTACAAATTCAAATTAAGCCTATGTAGCCATCAATTATGTGGTACAGTTACTCTAACAATTATAGAGAACCCCACTCCCTAATTTTGTATCCAAGAAGGTCAACATCCCATCCAATGCGAACATTATTGTTGTCAAATATAACAAGTGCTATTACGTAATCTGAGGTATAATTTTTGTCATGAGATAATACTTAGCTAATCTTTTTCTATTAGGTACATTCTCAAAAATTTGTAAATCTTAAATGTATAAATGTAAATTCAATTTCATAAATAACATGAAAATTGCAACTTGTTTGGCCCTAAATCCTAATCCATAGTCCACTAGCTTTACCTCTTAAGGTTGCACTAAAATCCCCTTTCTTTTTCATTTTCTTCCATCTTCCATCTATAGTACTCATTATATTGAGTACTATAGAACGGACATTCAACTACTGAGTTGCCAACCAAAGTGACAACACTCATCCACCTTATAAAATTCCACCACGTTCCTTGACAAATCTAGAACAAGTCTGAAAAGGAGAAATCCACATTAGCAAAATCTAGTCCTGTACGTCCACTGATGTCAATAGTTAAAGAAACATGCAAGACTAGATGATGTACAATAGAGGTCAAGAGAATAAATAAAGGGTTCTCTTCAGTAGGCATCTTTCCTTTTGTTTTTTTGCTTTTCTATTGGGTGGCTCATCAGTCGAATCAGTCCAACTGGAAGAGACCCTTTAGAGCTTAAAAGCAATAGTATAATTTAGCAACATTGTGTCCACACCCCATATGAAAATATTGTCGGCTTATGAAGTAATTATGGCAGTTAAAAGTAGTATAGCTCACAAGTGTGGCACAGAGTTTCATGTCTTCATCTGTGCTAGCAATAGATGAATTGTTATTTCTCACAACTCTTGTTCAGAGAAGGCTCTCTGAGTTTACTAGAAAGATTCAGGGGTTTTGTATCCATAGACACATGACATTTATTGCTTGAGAGTGAAAGGAAGATAGAAAGATGAGAATGAGTGAGTGCTGATGAATTTTTTGACTATTGTGTGGAAGATGTGGTAGGTTGATATGATTATGGTCAGCCTTTGTTTCTAAGCTACTTAGGAAGTTGGGATGTTGGAACTGTAGTTTATTTCTTCATTTGAAGGAAATGAAGGTTAAACTTACTTCACCAAGGAAAATTGGAGATTAACATTTGGCTTCTGTTTCTCAGTATAGAGGTTAGCCTTCTATCAGCTTCAAATTTTCATTTCAGTTGTTTCTTTTGTTTATAATGCAGACAAGATAGATTAGTCCCGTTCAGCATATGTAATTGTTGTAGTTAAGTAGATATCAAGAAAATCATTTGAGAACCAAAGAGTAGCAAGTGAAGGTGAATAATTTTTTATACCTTCAGGTATCCATGATGAAACAATAACTTGCTCCTTTTCCTATTGTCCCTTTTGTGCTTTCAACTGTTCCGCTGTTGCAAAAGTTGAGTTTTGAAGATGTTAGTGATTCATGTGTGGAAACAAGTGAATACTTAAGCTTTGAATTAGTCAACTCTGTTTGTGGGATCTCTTGTTCTGTTGTTCTGCAGGATGGGAAAAGAGGTAGGCCATGCAGCGCTGGTTCTGTTTTTTGCATTGTCAGTCTTAGTTGGCCATTCAGAAAAATTGCAGTCATCCCAGGCACAAACTCTTTTAAGGATTCAACAGTTTTTGAATTTTCCCGAGTCTTTGAATGGCTGGAAGAATGATACAGATTTCTGCAATCCAGAACCAAGGTCCACTCTTACAGTAGTCTGCTATGAGGAAAGCATAACTCAGCTGCATATAATTGGGGAGAAAGAGACTAATAAGCTTTCTAAGAACTTCTCTATTGATTCATTTGTTACTACACTGGTTAAACTTCCCAATTTGAAGGTCCTCAGGTTGGTTTCTTTGGGTTTATGGGGGGCATTACCAGATAAACTTTCCCGCTTGTCATCTCTGGAAATATTGGACATAAGTTCGAATTTCTTTTACGGTACCATACCTCGAGGAATATTGTCATTAACAGGTCTCCAAGCTCTCATACTTGATGGCAATATGTTTAATGGTAGATTTCCTGATGAGCTGGGATCACTATCAGTTTTGACAGTTTTGAGTATGAGAAATAATTCTTGTAGTGGATCTCTGCCCGATTCCCTAGGAAGTTTGGAAAATCTAAGAATCCTTGCCTTATCCAATAACAATTTCTCTGGAGAAGTGCCTGATCTTAGAAAGTTGGAAAACCTTCAGGTTCTAGACTTGGAAAACAATTCTCTTGGACCTCAATTTCCTCCAGTTAATAAAAAAATTGTAAGCCTTGTACTGAGGAAAAATAAATTTACCTATGGCATTCCAGATGAAGTGAAATCCTTCTATCAGCTTGATCACCTAGATGTGTCATCCAACAAATTTGTGGGGCCATTTCCATCATATCTTCTGTCCATGCCATCAATTACATACCTGGATATTTCAGCTAATAGATTTACTGGAATGCTTTTCGAAGATGTGTCTTGCAATACTGAACTTAAGTTTGTGAATTTGTCTGCTAATCTGTTGACTGGGAGGGTGCCTAGCTGTCTACTGTCCAATTCAAGAAACAGGATTTTTCAATATGCTGCAAATTGTTTGGCAACGAAGGATGTAACTCAACAACCGAACTCATATTGTCAGAATCAAGCTTTGGCTGTGGGAATCCTGCCTCATCATAGAAGGCAAAAGGAAGCTTCAAAAATAATCCTGGCCTTGAGCATATCTGGAAGTACTATAGGTGCAGTTCTACTACTCGCTCTAGCTTTTGTTCTTGCAAGAAAATTTCTTGCAAAGAATGAAGCACAAAAGCTTCCTGTTGGAATAATAGAAGAAAATGCCTCAACAGGGTACACTTCAAAAATACTTTCAGATGCAAGTAA